CCCCCTCCCCCTCCCCTCCTCCCCCTCCTCTCTTTCTCTCTCCCTCTCTCCCCCGGCCTCTGCTCCTTCTTGGGATTCCCCCACACTGAAGCCACACAGCCCTCGCCTGCTCCCCCAACACTCAGGGCTCATCACCTGGGACAGGAGAACACCTTTCCGTTAGCATCCCCAGGAACCGCCATCCCTGTTGGGCACAGAGGCCTGAGGGGACACTCAGCTTTGTAAACTGGGGCACTGAGCAGGTCAGGCCTCTTCTTGGATGGCCACAAACTGAAAGTAACCCCCTAGCTTTCCAGACGCGGCAGGGTGGGAGCCCAGGCCCTGCACCTGTGGGTCATGGCCAGGCTGGGCAGCCTGGAGCCCACGGAGGGCCAAGTGTTCTGGCCCTCAGCCTTCTCCATGGGGCAGTGGTACGGAGGCAGCAGCCCGAGGCCTGCAGCTGAGAACCTTCAGACTCTTGAGAGGCAGCTTTACCCTGAAGCACAGCCCCCCCCCCCCGCCCCACACCCATGCCACCACCCAGGCCACTGAGACCTGCGGATCTTCTTCTTTCATAGAAGAGCTTGGAATCGGGTGGGCCACATCCAACAGCCCCTCTCAGGGAAGCACAAGTGACCTTAAAACTCTGGCTATGAACCACCAGCCCCTCCCCCACCATGTACACATCTGAAATTTGAAATTAAAAACCATTAAGATTAAAATTAAAACGGACACTCAGCAGGGTTGGAAGCGTGAAGGGCCAGAGCACGGCTCTCTGACCACACATGGACAATCGGTGGAGCCCGAGTCACCAGCAGCTGAGGCGGACAGAGATGCTGACCTCAGCTGGCTGGGGTTCCGCAGCGGAGGCTGCTCACTGGGGACACTGAGCACATTCTTTAAAAGGATTTTGAAATAACCAGGTTTCCACGATCCACTTAAAGAGTGTCCCCTCGGCCCAGTGTGGGCTGTACAGTTCTTCCATTGAATAGTCTTGTCTTGGAAGTGAGCGACAGAGGTCACCAACCAAGGAACAAAGACCTCAGGATGCCGACAGCAGAAAGGCCYCAAATAGAGCAAAAGGACCAGGCCTCCCAAGGCGGCCCCCAAGCACATTCCAGAAACTTAAAAGGCCCCAGCACCAAACCCAGCCCCTCAGTACCTTGTAGCCACCACGGGATGGGACGCAGGCACCGCTCCGCACSAGGTCTCCCCAGGTAGCTGCCGCCCAGGGCCCAGGCACAGGGAGCAGGGCAGGAGAAGGGTCAGGAGCAGCCCGCTGGCTCCTCACACGCTGCCCTCCCCCGGCGCCTCGGCTCCCCCTCCCTCCCGGAGCCAATGTGATCAGCAGCTGCGTCCACAAGTCATTTCTAAAATTAGCCCATGAGCTCCAGGTCTGGCCAGGGGTGGCCGTTGACCAGGCCGCAGAGAGCATGGACATATATGGTGGCATGGAGCAGGGAGGGGACAGCTGGGGACGCAAGCACATTCCCAGCCGTCATGTGTGTCCCAGGACGGGCCACACCCACCTGCTCCTGCCCCTGCCCTTGGGGAGAACCAGAGGCTGCAGAAGGGGCGAGGGAGGAAGCAGCTCCACATTCCGACCAGAGGCTGGAAGGAAGTTTCTGGAGGGAATGCTGGCACCCCCTGGTATGCAGCCAAAGCAGGAAAACATGTCTGTGGGTAGGGAGAGCTCCCCAGGTGGCAGGCCTATTCCAGACAACGGCCCCCATGTTATAGGTGGGGAAACTGAGGCACGAAGGCTGTGCTGACCCTGAACATTAGGTGCTATGAGAYGTGCTTTGCCCTGGGGCTGGAGGAGAAGCTCAGGGGTAGAACCAGAGCTCAGCAGAAGCCTGGTTCTGTGCTCAAGCCCCAGCACTTGAAACCAGAAGGGCTTCACCCGCTGCCTGGAGGGAGAGAGGCAGGGATTCTTCCTCTCTATTTTTTGGGTTGGGTACGGGATTGCACTCRACCACTGAGCCCCGTCCCCAGCCCTATTCTGTGTTTTATTTAGAGACAGGGTCTCCCTGAGCTGCTTAGGGCCTCGCTGTGGCTGAGGCTGGCTTTGAACTTGCCATCCTCCTGCCTCAGCCTCCCGAGCCATGGGATGACAGTCATGGCCACTATGCCCCGCAGGGGATGTCAATAGATAAAGCAATCGAGCAATAATTTCCCAGGTGTGTGCTCTCCAGAGTTGGAAGTTCAATGAAACCCTAGGAGAAGTGTCTGGAAATGGCCCTCCATGCAGTGCCCAAGGGATGGCAGAAGGGTCCTGGGCCCCAGGGGACAGTGACATGGGGCATCTTAGGCTGCTCCAGGGACATTGGAGACAACAGGTCCCTGGCATTTTCTCCAGACATTGGAACGCCACCCATGCCATGCAACATCGTCCCCTGGGGCTTCTCTGTCCTTGCTTCTTTCCTGGCTGTTGGTCTGAACTGGGGGAGCTGACATTCAGAGACGATTCTGGGGCCCAGGGGTGGGTCCCCGTGAGCCGTGACCTCCGGTGGGTTCTGCTCACCCGGAGGGAACCATCCGTTCTGAGGGAGTCCCGTGGCGTGTCTCGAGTTTTTTCTCCTGGTACCAGAAGTGGGTGGGTTTTTGTCCCCCAGCACAGCCAGGAATGACATACGTGAGCCATGCTGTGATTTAGGGTGGCCCTTGCATGCAAGATGTCACCCAGTGTTGTAGGGACAGACAAGGCAAGGCACCCAAGACAGCAGGAAACAGTTTTATTTGGCTGCAGCCAWGYTCAGAGGGCACAGCTTTTGCTGTAATCAACCAATCCCCTGAACCCCGAGTTCAGGGAGTTTCAGAGTTTTATCCCCAGYRTGTAAGGGGAGGGGCTCAGAAGTTCACAGTCTGCARAAGTTCACATAACAGCAGCTTTTTCTTTCACTGCTCTGGGCAAGTTAACTCTTCAAGGACAACACCTGAGAAGGGGAGAGCTTCTTCTCCCCTTTCTTCCCTCCCCCTGCCAGCTGTGACCATGGAGCCCAATTGGTCACTTATCTTAAAAATGTAGACACCTCTGTGAAGCCCAGCTCAAGGCCAGAGGCCTGGTTTGCTCATTTCTACAAATTACTATACTGAATACGTTTATAAAGAACTGATAAGGGGGTGTCCAGCACCTGGAGTGCTGATATCTTCCCGGCCAGTGGCCAAGTAAAACAGGGCGACACGAAAATAGGAAGTTTATCTACATTGCAGAGACCCGTTGGCTGAGAGACCTAGTCAGCCATGGTGAAGATTTCTGGAGAGGCCCAGGTAGGCTTTCTGTGGAGAAAGGGGTGACACTTCTCCAACTAAGCATTTCCCTTCCCTTCTCCAGGCTTTGTCCCCAGGGAGGAGCAGAGGAAGAGAAAGTGACAGCTTCTCACCAGGGCCTCGGGAGAACTGGCCACTAGGGCCCATCAGTCCCATCAGCAGGGGGTCACCAAGAGAGGGGCTCACGGTGCTATTTGGGGGCCTCTGGACAGTGCAGGTGGCCATGCGTCCCTCTGGGCAATCACCTGGCCGTCGCCCACCTGCTGTGGGGCTCCTGGCGCTTGCCCTGGACACTCGACCTTTTCAGTGGTGAGTTCAAGGTCCCCAGAATGGCCAAAGGACTGTGGCATTTCACTGGGACAACTGACCTCAGTCTCCTGGTCATCCTCATGCTTTCTGATGGGACACACAGAGGGACTCTTGGTGGCCCGTGTCTGCTCCTTGGGGTGCTACCTTCTGTTCGTCATTTCCACGCTCCTGCAAGCCCCGCCCCTCTCGCCACTCCCTAGGATGCGGCCCCCATCTGCCTGTCATCTTGGAGTCCGTCATTCCCGCTGTGGTCAGAGAGCTGGGCGTGGGTAAGCGTGTGCGCCTGCGCTTGTCGTCAGGGTGTCGGCCTATGCACAGTCGCCAGAACCCCCCACGTGACCACGGCCTGCACCGGCCTGGGTGCACCACTCATTCGGCCATACAGGGTGCTGCGTGTCTGAGTCTGTCTCCTCAGGTGGCTGGTACACAGTAAGTGCTCAATAAATGCTTATGGGATGAAACCAAATGCATGGAAGCCAGGCTGGAGCAGGTGTCTGAGAACCTGACCCACATCAGGCTTTTTCTAGATGTCTGTCTGTCTACCAGTCTGTCTACCTGTCCCTCCTCTGCCATTTGGCGGTCTCTTGGTTCCCTCCCAGCGCTAAGTAGACGCTCATGGAATTTGGGGTGAATAAAAGCCCATGACCCGGAGGGTGGAGGTGGAGGCATCTCCACAGAAGCCCCCAGAAGGCCCGTCCTCTACCCAGGAGGCCTGCAGGCCTGCACAGAGCTGGGGCGTGGGGAAAGGGTCGGGTTTTGACCCAGWCCTGGCCACTTTTTTGCTGTGTGCACTTGGGGAAGTGGATTTGCCTGGCTGGGCCTCCCAGTTCCCTCTAAAATGGGATCCTTACCCCTCGGACTCTTTGAGTCCACACGACCCGGGGTAGATGCTCCATGGGTGTTTGTTGAAAGACTGAATGACACCAAGGTAGGTCTGTAAAAGCCTCCCCCGTCACTGGCRCTTTCTGCGAGGGAGAGCCACCACTGAGCTCTTAGCAGCGAGGGGCCCTCTCACCTGACAGCCCTGGAGGGTGTGAGGTGACAGGGCCCTCCAGCGTGCCCGGGACCCTGAGCTCTTTGGTCCTGGCTTTCCCGTCTACTGAGGCCTTCCCACATCTCAGCCTCCCTKAGCGCGGGCTTTCCATGCTGCTGGGGTCGGCCTGAGGCGCGTGGCATTTCCTGGTGTCCTTGCTGGAGTAAAGCCTCGTGGCTCGAGACCACCCCAAGTTCAGCCCTCCCTTATCCAGCCTGCGTCCCGCTCCAGCCGMCCAGCACTCGGCCTGCGCTCTCTCAGGCCGGCCGCAGGTCCCTGCTGCGCCACCTGGCGTCTTGGTGGCCGTCTYGGTCCCATCCTCCTTGATCAGGCCCAGCCGCCTGCTGTCTTGTGTGTCACTTCACCTGAGCCACGGGCCTGGGCACCGGGCAGGCGTGGGCTGGGGCAGATCCCGAGGGGCCAAGTGGCCACTGCGTCTGCCTCGGAGGCGGGGCTGCTCTCCACTGGAAGGAGAGGCCACGGCCACGGCCCCRGAAGGTTCTCAGGACTCTGGAGAGCCACGGTGCTCCGAGATCTCAGCGCTGATGTGCCACCTCCTGTGACAAGGTCTCCATCTCTCCCACTGCAAACTGGCCCTGGATGGGGGCCCCTCGGTCCCTGTGGTCCATCTGACCTGACCATGAGGTCCTGCTCTGGCCCTTGGAGCTCTTTGTCCCCTACTGGGCGTCACCCGCTCCAGGAGGTCCTCTGGCCTTCACAGAGGGTTCGGCCGGCCACCRTCCCCCTCTGCTTCTGAGTGTTTCCTGAAGCGCCGAGGGAGCTGGGCCAAGCGACTCCGGATCCCCCTGCCCCACATTTACAGTCCCCCCATTTTTCTCAAATGCTCACCTGACCCTCCGGCCACTGCACTCCCTCCCRCTCCACCCCGTCCGGAACGTGTGGACACCCCCGTGACCAGCAGCRGTTCATCCCTCCCCCAGCACATTTCCCCACGGTGACCATGCCCGGCCAGGGGGAGCCAGCCCCATGCTGCATCTTCTCTGACCGCTCCTGGTGGCATAGCTGCAGGTCGGGTTCCAGGAGAGGTGACTCTGAGGTGGGACTCAGTGAACAGCGTCACCGACTGGGGTGCCCTGGGGACCCACATCTAGTGACAAATGGGAAGGTTCAGGATTGGGCAAACGGCGATGGCGGCCCTGGGGACAAGCCAGGGACCACCTGGAGCCACCCCACCCGACCTCTGGACCAGGTTGTTCCAGCTGTGACAACAGGGCCTGGCCTATGGACCCTCATCACCCCCACTGCAGGAGGGGCCTGGGGAGGGCGAGGCACTGGGAGGAGGCTCTGTGCAGAGGCATCCTGGGGGGGACACCTGCGCTATCTGACGACAGCGCCACCCGTGACTGCGCCAAGTCCTTCCAGGAAAGAGGATCCAGACGCCATGAGGGACTCCCCACCAAGGTCACCTGGGAGGATTCTGGCAGGTGGGGGACTCGATGTGTCCCCGGTCTGCTCTGTCACGCTGCCCTGAGGCGGAGGATGGCCCCTGCAGACTGTGGCTTGGTGGCCACATCTGGTGTCCGATGGCCCTGCCAAGGCTGTGGGCAAAGTCACCCTCAAGCTGAACAGGAAGCTTGTGGGGATGGCACTTCCTGTCCCCGACCCCACCGTGGGTCTGGTGGGCCATCCAGACGCACCAACGTCAAGATGGCGGTGAAGCAGGTGTGAGAGTGGCCCGGGGCA